AGTTTTCAGGTGGTTTATTGGAGATAAGAGTCTCACAGACTTTCCTGCTGGGGCTGGCTTTGAACTGTGATCCTCAGATCTCAGCCTCCTGAGTAGCTGGTATTACAGGCGTGAACCACCAGCACTTGGCCAGAAACAATTTATCTTTGTGGCGCACAGTGGCTCACACCTGTAATCCCAGCTACTCGGGAGGCAGAGATCTGAGGATCATAGTCAGAAGCCAGGCTGGGCAGGAAAGTCCATGAGATTCCTTTCTCCAATTAACCACCAAAAAGGCCAGAAAGTGGTACTGTGACTCAAATGGTAAAGTGTGAGTGTTGAGCAAAAATGCTCTGGGACAGCACCCAAGCCCTGAGTTCAAGAATTCACTCACACTCACTCACACACACAGTTTAAAAAAGCATCCACTTAGCTATCTAAGTAAGTACTCAGAAAAGTGTTATAAAAGTTATGCACGTAGCCGGGCGCTGGTGGCTCACGCCTGTAATCCTAGCTACTCAGGAGGCTGAGATCTGAGGATCACAGTTCAAAGCCAGCCCCAGCAGGAGAGACCATGAGACTCTTATCTCCAATAAACCACCAGAAAACCGGAAGTGGCGCTGTAGCTCAAGTGGTAGAGCGCTCGCCTTGAGCTGAAGAGCCAAGGGACAGCGCCCAGGCCCAGAGTTCAAGCCCCACGACCGACAAAAAAAAAAAAAGTTATGCACGTATCATGTTAAAAAACAGTCCCAAATCCATGCACCGGTGGCCCACACCTGTAATCCCAGCTACTCAGGAGGCTGCGATCTGAGGATCTCAGTTCAAAGCCAGCCCCAGCAACAAAGTCCATGAGACTCTTACCTCCAATAAACCATCAGAAAACCGGAAGTGGCGCTGTGGCTCAAGTGGTAGAGCACTCGCCTTGAGCTGAAGAGCTGAAGGACAGCGCCCAGGCCCAGAGTTCAGCCCCAGGACTGACACTGACTGACTGCCCCACACACACACACACACACACACACACACCCCACACCTACCCCCTACTCCCACGATCTTGGTCAGATTTTTGATAACATAAACAAAATATTTGACAAAATGCATCTTGAGAGGACTGCACGAAAACGCATTAGTTCTCCACGAAGACTTGTTCAGACATGTGAGGTGGGTCGCTCTCAGCCTGGAGAACACATTGGAATCACCTGGTACCAATGTCCGGGCTGAAGCAGGGCCCGGGCGGCGTAAACCGCCCCCCCCCCAAAGTCCCCACAGCTGTCAGCCTCGAGGCCGGCCCGGCCCTGCCGCCTGCGGCCCAACCCAAACCTTGTAGGCCGCAGTCACGGTGCGGCCCCTGGACGCCTGACAAAGCGTTTAAAAGGCCCTGTGTGAGCATGCACAAAGCGCGGAGGCTTGTTGCTTACAGTTCTGGAGGCTGAGGAGTCCCCGAACCAAGGGCGTCTTCCAGAAAACACCAAGGAACGGCGTCGGACCGGGGCCTTCTTCCGCCATTTTGGGACAGCCGCCCAAGAGGGAAGCCTTTTATAGTCGCGTTAATGTATTCATGAGGGCGGAGCCTCCAGGATGGAAACCTCCAATCAGGTCTCGCCTCCCAAGGCTGTTGCATAATGAGTGAAGTCACACACCTGATGGGCTGGGTGGGGGGGCCCGCAGGGGGAAGGAGACACATTCAAACCATAGCAGATACTGTAATGCTTGGAGATTTCCCCCTCAGTTCAAATAAAGAGGATTTGAATGCTAGTTCCGAGGTTCCCCCGTGAGCTGTGCGCCTGAGAGTATGATCATAGATCCTTCACTACCTCAACTTTTATCAGTCTGGTCAGGCACTGAAGGCTCACACCTGTAATCCCAGCTACTCAGGAGGCTGAGATCCAAGGAAATCAGTTTGAAGGTAGCCTGGGCAGGAAAAACACAAATCCATGAGACTCTTACCATCAATGAACCATCAAAAAAAAACAAAGCTAGAAGTGGATTTCGTGGTTCAAGAGATAGAACAGCAATCTTGGGCAAAAAAAAAAAGCTAAGGGACAGCGCCCAGAATTTGAGTTCAAGCCCCAGGACCAGCACAAAAAAAAACAAAATATAAAGCTCAAATGAAAGCTCTGTGAGGTGTTCAAGTGACAGAAATCCAACCACTTACCTCCAGCTTTCTTGTCTGCAAAATGGCGATTCTCCCCAAGGCTGCCACGTGGGTGTGAAATGCAGCCCTCACGGGCGGCATCCTAGCCTGTTTGCAAATGCAAAGACACTAAGAGGTCGTGGTCCTCCTCTGACCCATCTAGAAATGGAGTCTTGTACATAAATCAAAAGGCTCGTGGCTCTAGCTTTGTGGCAACAAAAACCACCTGGGGTTTTTGGAGACCTTAATGGCCAGGGAAGGTTGGCACCTGCAGCCTGCTCTAGCCTGCGCAGGTGGTTTTATGGTAGTGGTATCCTTTGCACAGGTGTACTGACTGTAATACATTTGCAGTCTATACTGAACTCCTTGATAACCTGCAAAGGGCAGATGCAACAGTATTCGTGTAGACTAGATCTGTATTGGATAACTCTGGACAAGAATGTCTTCTTTTCCCCAAGGCCTTGGTTTTATGGAGTGTCAATAAGAGGCTAGAGAGAAAGACCATGAAAGTGGGAGCCGGGGTAAGAGTCTACGAACAGATTCACCTCCTCAAACCTTACACAATTAGCCTCCAGTAACTAAGATTAAACCTGAGGGACAGCAGGCGTATAGCTCAGTTCTAAACAGCTTGTCCAGTGTGTGCAAAAGTCTGGCTTCCACTCCTGTCATTACAAAAAGAGAAGGAAAAAACCCCAGAGCTCACGCAGGACAGCTTTAGGCCAAGGCGCTCTCTACAAGGTAAGACAAGGTAATTCAAATTCAGAACTTTTGTACCGGGAGCCAGTGGCTCATGCCTGTAATCCTAGCTACTCAGGAGGCTGAGATCTAAGGATCTCGGTTCTAAGCCAGCCCAGGCAGGAAAGTCTCATGAGACTCTTATTCTTCAAATAATCACCAGAAAACCAGAAGTGGCTCAATGATCAAGAGGTAGAGCGCTTGCCTAGGGCTGAGGGACAGCGCCCAGGCCTGGAGTTCAAGCCCCACGACCAAAATAAATAAACTATAAATAAATAATTTGTGTATGCCAGTCCTGGGGTTTGAACTCAGGGTCTGGGCGCTGTCCCTGAGTTCTTCTGTTCAAGGTTAGTGCTCCACTGCTCCTCTTTTTTGGGGGGTTTTGGTGGTTTGTTGGAGGTAAGTTTCGTATACTTTGATGCTTGGGCTGGCTTTGAACCATGATACTCAGATCTCAGCCTCCCAAGTAGATAGAATCACAAGCCTGAGCCAACAGCACCCAATAAGTGTTTCTACTTTTCAAGTTTTTTCCTCATTTTGAAAGGATTTTTCTGCATTCTTAAAATAGCATCATGATTGACTGCAGTGGAACACACCTATAGTAACACTCAAGAGGCTGAAGAAGGATCTTAAGTTCAAGGCCAGCCTGGGTACACACTGCAAGTTCTAAAAAACAAAACAAAACAAAAAAAGGCAGGGATATAGAAGAGATGAACTAAAATAAATTGCAAACATGGAAAGTAACAATGGCACCTCCATACAACTAATGTAAGCTAATTGGCTTTTTAAAAAGGGATCTGTAAGGAGCTAGTCTAAAGGGTATGTTCCAATCCTGTTATTCTTAAAACAACTGGGGTATAGAAGTTCTGGGTAGGCAGTGTAAAGTTTCATGCTTTTTCGTTCCTGCTCGGTACAGGTCTTGGCTGATCGAAGTGTTAACAGCACACAGCTCAGGCAAGGTCTTCAAAAATCACCTGGGTCCCCAAAGCACTGAAATTTTGACAGTGCAGAGAAGCATCTGAATGCTAAGCCTGAACACAGGTCAGTTCTTTGGGGCAGTCCATTTCCCCAGTGGCAGGTCTCAAGGCCAAGCAGACAGAGCTGGCAAGGAACAAACCTTGTTTCTTAACTGTATGCAACTTTAAACATGCTCATATTAAAAATATTGTAACCAGTGGGGGGAAAAAAACCCTCAAAAAATGCTGCTTCTTACATTTTACCATTTCCCATAAGTCTTTCTTTCTATCAGCAATATTACTGACAAAAATATGCCCTACTTCAACACCATGGGCACACTTGCCAACAAAGAAAAAACCTGAGTTCAAATCCTACTAACACCAAAAAGGAAAAGTGTCATATTTCATAAATTAAAAACAAAGGCAGGGGCTGGGAAGGTGGCTTAGTGGTAGAATACTTGCCTAGCACACATGAAGCCCTGAATTTGATTCCTCAGTACCACATACACAGAAAAAAAAAACAGAAGTGGCGCTGTGGCTCAGTGGTAGAGTGCTAGCCTTGAGTAAAAGAAGCTCAGGGACAGTGTCCAGGCCCTGAGTTCAAGCCCCAAGACTGACACACACAAAAAAAAGGCAAAGCCAAACTGGAATTCAGTTCTTCAAACATTGATCCACATTTTCATTACCTAATACTTATAAGATTAGCCATTACTTTATAATTACCTAAAAACTGTACCTCAAACTCTAAAAATGATGTAAAAATTTTTAGCACACTTGTCATAAATAATATAAACATACACTACTATTAAACACAGTATTAAACACATATTTCTCCTTAATTGTTATCTGCTATTTAAGTAGTGGGTTAGAGGGAAATGCTTCTTTTCCAAATGGATCCTTCTAAGCTTTATTAGAATCCATACATACGAACTTACTTTAGAAATAGCTTTATTTCTATGTGCTCATGTGCATACCAGTCTTAGAGGATGAACTTGGGGCCTGGGTGATGATTTTGTGCTCAAGTATAGCACTCTGCCACTTGAGCCACACTCCACTTCTGGCTTTTCTGGCAGTTAATTGGCGATACGAGCCTCTTGGACTTTCTTACTCAGGCTGGCTTCAAACCCTGATCCTCAGATCTTAGCCTCCTGAGTAGCTAGGATTACTGGCATGAGCTCAAAATGGTTTTATATTTTAAATAGAAACAATAAACAGAAATCAACCAGAACTTCTTTTGTTGTTTAAAAAAGAGAGAGAGAGAGAACTAGACAGTAAATTTTAAAAGGCTACTCCTAAGCCAGCTGGGAAAGCCAGGAACCACACATTGGAACTGAGTCTGCTCCAAAGCAGAAAACGCAGTGCCATTTTGGGCACAGATCGTTCAACTCTCCTCCCCGCATCCACCACCACCTGTCAGAGCGGGCCAACCAGCCCACACCAGTCCAGCACAATTAGATTCACTGATGAGGCCATTGTGTGGCTCTAAGAAGTCAAGGGCGTCAAACAGAAATGCAGAGATCAAAACAAGATTGCCAAGGTTATCACGTACATGTCTTGGTTGTATCCCCTTACCCCCTTTCTTTACCATGAATACAGGAACCATTTTACTGCAAGAAAACATTTGTAGACATCAGTAGTCCCGAATGCGTGTATCTAGTCACTACACAAACGCTGTCCAGTGCCATTAACCAGGTGACATGACGTTCCTGTGCACAGCGGAGGAGCAAGAGCGATGAAGGCGCAATGTGAGGTGCGGTCAGCACCCCGCAGCTGAGGCCGCGCAGAGCGCAACGCCCCCCAGAGACATCAAGTAACCGATCAGGGATTCGGAAGTCCCAAGTCTCCACCGACGATCGATCCCCCAACGTCCACGCGTGGTCAGCGAGATGTTTAAGACACGTCCTCCATGTCCACGTCCTGCTGTAACTGCTGCACCATTTTTTCTTCCAGCTGCTTCCCTTTGCCTTTAAGAAGGAAAATAAGGATTTATGTGACCACATCAAGAAGGATCCAAACTGTCAAACGGTAACATCGACCACGTCTAAGCAAGTCAAGAACAGGGCTGGAAATGCAGCTTAGTGGTAGAGTGCTTGCCTAGCATGCAAGAAGCCCGGGTTCGATTCCTCAGAAAAAACCACAAGTGGTGCTGTGGATCAAGTGGTAGAGGGCTAGCCTTGAGCAAAAGAGGCTCAGGGACAGTGCCCAGGCCCTGAGTTCAAGCCCCAGGACTGGCCAAAAAAAAAAGTCAAGAACAGTTAACTTACTCAGATCTTGCAAATGATTACATTAAACATCCTACAGAGGGCTGGGAAGGTAGAGCACTTGCCTTGCATGCCTGAGGCCCTGGGTTCGATTCCTCAGCACCACATAAGCAAAAAGAAAAAAAGCCGGAAGTGG